TTTTCTTTTTGTTGCCTGTACTTTTGCTGTTATATTCAAGAAATTGTTGCCAGGTTCAGTGTAATAAAATTAGCTTTCTATATTTCCTTTAGAATTTTTACAGTTTTATGCCTTGAACAGAATTTTGTGTATAGTGTATGTGTCTAATTTCATTATTTTGCACGAGTGTTCAATTTTCCCAGCATCATTAGTTGAAGAGACTATTTTTTCCTCAGTGTGATTCTTGGAAGCATTTTTAAAGGTTGGTTGATTGTACAAATGCTTTTTGACTAATGACAGAGTTTTTTTTTTCTTTTCTAAAAATGGGAGTTCATAACCCACTTGAATCTAATGTATGAAATATGATATGTCAAGAGCTTTGTAATGTTTTGAACAACCAATAAATAAATAAATAAATAAATTGATTTTTAAATTTGTTTTAATTAGTTATATATGAGAGTAGAATGAATTTATGCACTTTGATATATCATACATAAATGGGGTATAATTTCTCATTTTTATGGTTGTACATGTTGTAGAATCACATTAGTCATGAAGTCATATACGTATATAAGGTAATAATGTCTGTTTCATTCTGCTATCCTTTCTATTCTCATATCCCATACCCCTCCTTCACTCTCATCTATCTAATCTAAAGTGACTCTATTCTTTCCTATCGCATCCTGCCCATTATTGTGGATTAGCATCCGCATGTCAGGGAAAACATTCAGTCTTTTTTTGGGGGGGATTAATGGAGTTTTATCTGATAAATCCACTGTAAGTTGGAAAATGTATTTGATATACCAAACCCATCAAACAATGGAACTTAACTTAGATCAGAACACTCATATTATCCTACATTTGGGAAAAATCATTTAACATAAAGCCTGTTTTATAAGAGTATTAAATATTTCATATAATTTGTTGAACAGTGTACAGCACTGAAAATGAAAAACAATGGTTATTTGAATACTCTTTGTTTTCATTGTTAAATTGAAAAATTCTGCTTATCATTGTAATTTAGGGTTCATCTATATATTCATGTGCTTATTTCTGGACTTGTTATTCTGTTCTATTGGTCTATATGTCTTTCTTATGCCACCAACATAATTTTTTGGTTTTGGTGGGGGCGGGGGGTAACAGAGATTGAACTCAGGGGCACTTAACCACTGAACCACATCCCCAGCCCTATTTGGTATTTTATTTAGAGACAGGGTCTCATTGAATTGCTTAGCTTCTCGCCTTTGCTGAGGCTGGCTTTGAACTTGCAATCCTCCTGCCTCAGCAGTGTGCCATAGTGCCTGTCAGTAACAGGTATTTTAACCGTTAACTTTGTCATATATTTTGAAATGAGGAAGCGTGGTACCTCCAGTTTTGCTTTCTCAAGATTGTTTTGGCCATTTGGGTTCTTTGTGGTTCTATGTGGTTCTAATGTAAATTTCAGGACTTCTATTCATGTGAAGAATACCACTGGAATTTTGATAGGGATTTCAGTGACTCTATAGATTGCTTTGGGTAGTATGAACATTTTAACATTAAGTCTTCCAATCCATGAACAAGGGATGTCTTTCCACTTATTTATGTTTTCATAATAATCTCTTTCATTCCATGTTTTTTTAAAATCTTTCATTGTACAAAAGTCTTTGCCTCTTTTGTTGAGTTTATATCTAGGTATTTTATTCTTTTTTATGCTATCATTAATGGGATTATTTTCAATTTTATTTTTGAATAGTTATATCCAAAATAGTGAATAGAAATGTCATCAATTTTCTATGTTGTTTTTATATCCTATGACTTTACTGATTTAATTTATTACTTTTATCAAATATTTCTTTTTTGAGTATTTAGGGTTTTCTACATATAAGATCATGCCATTTTCAAGGATACTTTTATTTCTTCTCTAATTTGTATTCTCCTTACTCTTTTGTTCCTTCTTTTCTTCCTTTCTTCCTTCTTTCCTTTCTTCCTTTCTTCTTTCTAACTTCCTTCTACTAAGTTGAATAAAAATGATCAGAATGGGAATCTTTGTCATATTCCTAGTCTTGGAACAAAACTCATAGTTTTTCCTCATTGAGGATAATGTTGGCTAACATATGTGACACTTAATGTGTTGAAGTACATTCCCTCTATATCTAATTTATTGAGAGTATTTTTATCATGATAGATGTTTTTATTAAATAGTTTTATCAAATAGTTTCCCTTCATCCAATGAGATACTAGTAATTTTTATCCTTCATTCTGTTAATATGGTGTTATAAATTTTTGTATGTTGAACCACTGGTGTATCCCTAGGATAAATTCCACTGGATCATGGTGTATGATTCTTCTAATGTGCTATTGAATTTGCCTTGTCAATATTTTGGTGAGTATTTTTGTGTCTATATTCATTAGAAATAATGATTTGTAATTTCTCTTTCTTGTCATATTTTTATCTGGCTTTGGTATCACTAAAGTTGGAATGTTGAATATATGGTTACCATTCTTATCCTCCGTGGTGAGAAGTTAGAATCCAAGTTTTTGTTTGTTTGTTTGCTTCCATTGTGCTGAACTGGAAGAAAGGTTATGGGGATTGCTTGTATACTGAGAAACCGCCATGCAAATAATGTATTCAGTTTCCATCAGCACTCTGAAATAGGCAAGACAGAAGCTAGTCCCTTAGGCAGCTCCCCTCCAATATTATACCCACAGTTGAGTCATTTCTTATCCTTTTCTTGGAGAAGTTGGAAGCTGGGAGTTTTATCATATATATGGCACTGTACCCAGAGAAAGAACTAGGAAGAGACTGAGACTTAAATTTTCCCACTGGTTTTAATATGGCTGTTTTTTTTTTGCATTTGCCTGGCCTATAGGAGTTTCTTGTCTGGTTTGTGGATTTCTCCCAAGGGAATCACAGTTGAATTGAAGATTTGTTGGGAAAGGAGGGCTCAGGCTTCTATTCCACTGTCCTACTAATGCCCCTTCTCCATATAGGATATTAATATATGTGCCATATTGATTGTTATTTTTCTATGATTAAAATTTTAAAAATATTATTTATCAGTGGTGCATATAGTGGAATGTTTGTTAAGGATATCTTATCTTTTCTCATGGTATCAGTCTAAAAAATATCTCCTTTATGGTCTGGGGCTGTAGCTCAGTGGTAGAGCACTTGCCTAGCATGTGTGAGGCACTGTATTTGATCCTTAGCACCACATAAAGACCCTTAGATCCTTAGATAAGGCATTCTGTACATTTACAACTACAAAAAAAAATTAAAAAAAAATCTCCATTAACCTGTAATGGGATGACTGAGACAGTCTGGAGATAGAGCAATCTGCTTGCATATGGCAGACTCTAGAAAAAAACAGACAGTTATAGGAAATGAAAGAAAGTCTAGTCTATTAGCAGAACATTTCCACTGAGGCAAGATTTCCTAACTTGTAAAACCATTTACTCTATAATGATTTTAACTCTATAATGGTTTATATGGCTATTTCAAGACCGTGGTTAAAATAATCATTGATGAGTTACAGATCTGATAAAGGAAAATTTAGCATTCAGGGCCTCTAGATCAGCCTAAAATGTCCAGAGCTGCTGGACTAATTATATCTCTCTATCAGCAGCTTCATCTACATGTCCAATATTTCTGCTAAAAAATGATCACTTTCTATGTGTGTCATGATGTGAGAAAGATTGGAAAGTACATATATGAAGGGTAAAACTAATTATATTTCAGCCAAGTGGTTTTGTGAAAAAAATAGAGCCAGAGAAAAATAGATAGAGGTATTAATTAAGGAATTAGGGAAGCACAGTGTCTCAATACAAGCTTCCTGCTAGAGAATGAATTAGTAGTAATTGAGCATCTGTCCCCATATTTAGTACTTCAATTAATGCATAATAGTGTTTAGTTACTTGTGAAGAAATTATTGCTATTAACATTTTAAAGATGAGGAATCTGGAGCTCAGGTAGTTAAAATGACTTGGCTAGAATCATAAGTTTGCAAATGTGAAGACTAGGATTTGAATCAAGTTGCTGGACTGGAAATCAGTCTAGGATCCTGGAGCAGGTGATAATATGGAGAGCATGCAGGCAAGTTGGTTGCCAATATCAACAAAATTGTCTTCATGAGGCAAGACCCAGCCACTGGGCTTGGGTTTAGTTTGAGTTCATGAGTCCTAGGAAAGGGAGGGAGGAACCAGCATGAATAGATCAGGGTCATCAATTCCAAAAAGACTAGCTCATTATGCTGGGGGTAGCCCGAAGTGGAAAAGGCAGAGGTTATTCTCATTACCTCAGTTTAAAATCAAGATCAGAATTGCTGCTCAGGGATGTGTTGTTAGTCCTGGAGTCTTAGGTCAGAAGGTGAGTAGGGAGAAGAGCAGGAGGAATCCTAGGAATTAGGAGACCTCTGAGTCCTCAAGTGTGGGAGAGCACCCAAGAGCCTAGGAATCATTTAGCACCCAACACAGGACACTTAATGCTATATTAAATTTTATTTTCCAGCTTTATTTATATTTCATTTGTCCTGACCTTTGGATGAGACTTCGCTGGCTTCTGTGAACTCCTTACACATATTAGGTTTAACTCCATAATGGTTGACTATGGCTATTTCAAGACTGTGGTTAAAATAATATATTATACGTGCTTAATAACACTCATAATCTAGTAGCAGTTTTTCAACCTGAGAATTAACTAATCTATGAAGTGTGTTAAAATCATACTTCATGAGTCTCACTAATCAAATTAATAAGAATATCTGGTGGACTAGGAATCTGTAATCTGTACTTCAGTGGATTCTCCCAAAGGAGTAAATGAAACCACACAAATGAGAGCAAGTTCTCCAATGTTATCAAGTTACAAATTCACCTAGCATCATTTTATAGTTCAATTTATTTTATAACTATTTTCTATTATTTTGTTCAATGGCGTGCTTCTAATTTTAGAATTGGTCAAAATGTACCAAAGTTTCTGCTTTTTATTTTCTTTCCCTAATTTCTGTTACTCTATTCACAATCAGAATAAAGTACATTTCATCAAACAGGAAGAAATATTCTATGAAGAAAAAGTTTGGAAAAAATGAGACACGAAATTGAGGAAAGTTTAGGACTCATGGTCAATCATCTTTGGATCAGCAACATTAAATTATTAATTCAAGAATACAAGGGCCAGTACAAGTTTCCTTGGTGAGTACTGTCTTGTTTTAAAATTCTAGTACTCTAATATAGTCTTAGTTTTTCTTGTTAAGTCAATTTTTGGAAAGGTCCAGATATTAAACTCCCAGTAGGACATGTACAAATGTCATTCGGGCTTCCTCCACTTCTACCTTCAATTAGATAGCAGTCATGTGCCTTGTCCTTCATCTTCAGCCAATGTTTTGAAATAATTTTAGATGATATATATAAATTTACATCTTTGTTTTTAAACCACTGTATACCATGTCATTTTAACTTTACATAGGAGAACACTAAGTCTTAAAAAAATAATTTGTCCAAAGTACACAGAGCATCAAAGTGGTAATGAATTTGAACCTAGGCAGTTTCATTCCTGAGCTTGCTGGCTTAACCACTGTTCTGTAGACTTAATACTCTGGGGAAGTGCCAGAATCATAACAAGACGTAATGTGACACAATTGAGTTCTTAATGAAATGATAAAAATGACAAACTGACTCAAAAAAATGATTACACAAGAAAGGATTATAAAAGCCATCTACCTTAACTTCCTTACTTAAAGATGAGAAGAATAAAACTCCAAGACATACTGCTAGTAAGAAACTTGATAAACCAATTCTCCCGCTTTCTAATTTATTGTGCTACTGTGTTTTACAACTTAGGCATTTACAAAGATAATCAGAATTTCATAAGGATAAACAGGATGTAACCAGCAAAGAACCTTTTGGTAATGTAAATGAAGTTTGGTCTTCAATTTAATAAACAAAGCAGTTGTTTAAGGCCAATGTGTTGTTCAAGGCTAGTGTATTGAAGGGCAAGGGCTATGATCTAAAATTTATGTGATGGCTAAAAAAGGATGTGAAGACTTGGTTTTCTTCTAGGATGCTGACGATGGAAAGATCATCACTCTTATCTCTCATCCTCACAACTTTGACCTATTCAGTCAAATGATCTACAAATCCATTACTTTTTAGAATCCCTCAGAACACTGAAGTTATATAGCAAGTAACTAACCTGAAATGTAAAAAATAGAAAAATATCAGCAGGGAAGGAGGGGTGTGAAGACTCCTTTAGCTGCAGCAGATGCAATCGGGCACCAATGAGAATTCAGTTAAGAAACTGGCAGAAGCCAAGTGTGATCTGGTGAGTAATTAGAGTCCTTGGGGGCTGTAGATATAGGAGAGGTTCACATACCCTTTGTAGACTTTTTTGCAGGGACTTCGCCTGCTCTCACAAAAAAGATTGATGAGGATTCTGAAAAAGCATACTTAATGGTGCAGACCCCAAGAAGCGAAGAGCAGGCCGTGGAGGACATGCCTGATGCCCTGTGCAGATCTTCGTTTATCTCCCCCAAAGAACAAGAGCCCTAAACCATAGATAGGTAAGAAGCACTGCAGCACTTATGGAAGTGGGGGGAAATTCTAACAGTGAATGGTGAACAGAAAAGCTTACTGGCCTTAGAGGAAGGAAAGGAATATCTGTGAAGCCCATAACTATGGCTGATGGCGGGGCAGGAATACCATGGGCACATCCTGAATGTCCAGGGACACTGAGCTTGCGTAAGACTGAGGATTAAGCAGACTAATGGAGACTTTCCCTCCTTTTCCTCCCTCTCACCAGGCTAACAAGCATTGAGTAACTTGTAACAGTGGAATGTTGTTGGGAGAATGGTAAGAATGTGGAAAGAGAAAGAGATCCTATCTGAGCCACAGGAGAAAACAGATATTGAGTCTCCATTGTGAAGCAAGTTATCTCCAGAAGAAGTTAAATTCTTCTTTATGTTGATTGCAACCACTGCAACAGGAAATCTCAAACCTGACTCAACTCCTTTCCTAGATTGACAATATTCCTGAAAATAAAGGTCTAGGATAAGGAAAGGTATGCCCGTATATACATATAGAAACTTTGTCTCAGTTTCTACTTCCATAGAATTGTTCAACTTTGAACAAAAAATTACAAGGCAAACAAAGAGGCAAGAAAAAACAAACAACAACAAAAAACTACAAAGAGAAAAATAAATAAATCAATAAAATCAAACTCAGATATGATAGTGAACTCTCAGAAAGAAAAATGGAAATAGCTATGATTAATATGTTGAAGGCTATAAAGAAAAAGACAGTCAACAAATATGAACAGAGAGTCATATTTATTTTTTGCAGTGCTGGGGATCAAACCCAGGGCCTTGTGCATGTGAGGCATCCACTCTACCAACTGAGCTATATCCCCAGTCCAAGGTGTTAGAAATGAAAGGCACAGTAATGGAGATAATTAATATTCAAGGGCTTATTGCCATGGCTGAGGAAAGAATTATTCAGCTTGAAGATAGGTAAATAGTCATTACCCTAACCGAAGAACAAAGAGAACAAAACCATACTTCTCATTTATTGTTAGTGAAAATACAAAATGACACAACCATTTTGGAATATGGTTTAGTCGTTTCTTGTAGAGTTAAGGATGGCACTTACCATATGATCCACGAATATTACTATGAGCAATTAATTACCCAAAGGAAATAAAAATGCATGTTCACACAAAAACTTAGACATAAATATTTGTAACAGCTTTATTCTTAAATGCAAAAGAAATTGGAAAAAAATTTGAAAGCCTTTTAATGGTGAATAAACAAACTATGGTACATCCCTGTGATGGAACACTGTTTGACTAGAAAGAAGAACCAATTTGAGAGATACAAGTAACATGGTTAAATCTCAAAAGCATTTACTGAGTGAAAGAAACCAACCCCTTCCCAAAATTATATACTATAAAGTTCTATTTACATGCCATCATTTAAAAAAATATAAAACTATAGTGTTGGAGAACTTCTCAGTGGCTAGCAAGGATTATAGGAAGAGCCTACCATTAAGGGGTAGTATGAGCAAATTTGGGGGTGTGATTGACTTGTTCTTTATAGTTTTTTTTTTTGATATATGACTTGATGTATTTGTGAAGTTACTTAGAATGCCACAAAGGGTAAATTTTACAGTATGTAAGTTTAAAAAAACACACACACACACTTATAAACAAAAATGTCAGTTGCTGATGTTACTGTATTTAGAATTTGGAATTGAAGTAGTTTTTAGGGCTGGGGATATTTAGCAAACATGCTACAAACATAATTGAAATCAACTTTTTACTCGTTTAGTGTCTGAATTATTTCAGGGTGAAATCACAAGAAAGCACCTTTTTCAAACAATCCTCTCTTGCAGAGAACATAAATAAGAACTTGAATGAGCTTCTCTCTTGTTCTGCTTTGGGCCTTGTCCAGTTGAAAATAATATGCATTATAATATACACTGATTTAAAAGATAATTATTCTATTCTTAACTACTTAACACTTGGGTTAACTTGATCTTTTCCTTCATCACAAATAGCCCTTGTCACTCTCTCCCCATCACCTTAAGAGCTATCCGATTGTCCATTTACTAAAGAATGCTCGTGGGTGTGCTAAAAAACTATGAGGTGTTCTGCAGACATGCTGTCCTTACCTAAGTAACTGTCCTTCCACTAAATTATTTTCATAATTACATGGCTCAGCTATTCAATTTGCATTACCAGCTCTCCAAAGGAATAATGACGACAATTTAAAAGTATAATCAACTTCAGTCACATTTCTAAAAATCCTTTGACATAATTTCTGAGTTATTCGAATAATATCCACCCACAAAAGGAATTAATGAAATAATGGAAATGTTAAGCACAGTTGGAACCATGTTTCGACAAAGTATTCATTTTAAGATTCATTAATTATAAATAGGGCTACCCTGCTATCATTGATTAATAGCCTTGAAGTACTTTTAGTCACTAAAGTTCAACAATTAATGCATAATTTCAGTTTAACTGTGAAGAGGGTTTGTGGCAAGAGCCTGGGTGGACATCCTTCTCTCATTCATAATGGGCTTGGAGCAAGAGGGAAGGGAGCTCTAGCTATTAAGTTAAGACAAGGGAATCAGCACTATAAAAAGGGGTTCCAAATGTGCAAATGGATTTTTTTTTTACTTCTCAAAGTAGGACACACTTCTCTTTTTGTAAAGAATCTGGAATTTTATCAATGCTAGGGTAAGAAGTTTTCCTTACTTAATTGATAGAAGATATTGTTTTTTAACTGGGAGAAACAGGAAGCACTGTGAAGACTGGATTTGAAGATAGCAAAATGTGAGACAGTATGACCCTCAGAAGGTCACTGTGATGGTTTAGGTGGAAGCTAAAGAAGCCACACCTCAGGTAGTTGCATTAAGAAGGGAAAAAAGGAGAAAGACTAAAACAGTGTTATAGAGATAAAAACCTATAGAATTCTAGCAAGGAATTTTTGAAGGAGAGTTTTGCATAAGGATGAACCACCAGTGGCCATAAGGTTTCCAGTATCTGTCATGTAGATCGTGGAAGTTCTGATAAAATGGGAAGAGTAGATGTCAGGGTATTGGGAAGCACGGGCAGGTATTACGTTTAAAGAAATTCAGTTTAAAATCTATCTCTGGAACTTAACCCCATAGCATAACAAAGAAGTGTCTTACTTTCTATGTTTGCACATATCTATGTAACATGGTAAAAATACAAAGCTACAGTGGGTTATGGGGCTCAAAAGCACCTGCTGCACAGTGAGTTCTAGGTCAATCAATGGAAGTTATTATTACTATTGTTGTTGTTATGACTATCATAAAAAAATAAGTGGCACCTCCATTATTAATCAGTAATTGACAATTGTCTACATTAGAATGAACGTCTGAGAGCACTTACATGAGGCCTTGCCTCATGCCCTGAGGAACTGGCCTGACTCATTGAGAGTCTAGCAGTCCGTTTGAGGGAAGTTACCATCAAGGTGACCTGTTTTGTGACAGTCTTTGGAGCTTTGATCACTTTACCTGGTTTGCTTGGGATTTGAAGTTATTTGGAAAGGATTTACAAAATAAAAGGGGAAATGCAAGAAGACAGATTAAGAGATCCACATGGGAACTGTCTGTCAAGCAGTCAGGGGAGGCCCATAGTGAGAATCAGGGACTAAACACTGGGACAGAGGGAATCTGCAGCTGGAGCCAGTACAGTGGCCAGGGTGTGGCATGTGAGCTGTTAGCTGCAGAGGTGCAATCACCATAAAAAGAGGGAGGTTCCTGGGAAGGGCAGGAGGGTGGAGATGTGGGAGGAGCAGGATGGGAAGGAACAAATGGGAAATTGCTGGGCCTAGCTGGGTGGGGCTCACTCCATAAATCATTTGCAGTTACTGTAACTGGCTTGAGTGTCCTCCTTTATAATGTTGCTCCATTAAAAGGGTACTGCTTCCTTTCTGTGTTGGCTTTAGTCACTCCATTACTCATCCGAAGCAGCTAGACAGCTGTTTGCTGCTGTGAGTGAGTGGCACAGAGCAGTTGACTGTGTTTCTCGCTTGAGCAACCACAAACAGGATTGCACATCACTGAAACACAGAAGATGGTATCAGCAATGGGACAAGCATAATGTCAGGGTGGGACAGAATTATTACTTAAATTAATTACACTGCAGAAATGTGCTCATGAAATCATGCGCATGATATATACATGAGTATGTATTTAGTTTTTTTTCTGATAAAAGTATGCTTTTATTCAGCATGTTAAATTATAGCCCATTGCGTTCTGTGATTGGTATGTAAGAAATAGAAAGAAGAGGACCATTGGAACAAACAGTCTGTGTGAACTTGGTATGAACTAGAATGGGTTCAAATCCCAGCCCTGCCTCTTAGTGGTGTGACTTCAAGCAAGTTACTTAAACTCTTTAGGCCTTATTTATTTATTGTTTTTAACTAACAAAGAGGTGTTATGGGGATTAAATAAAATATGCAAGAGTCAGTATATAGTAGATACCCGCTCAGTATGTATTCAGACTAGAGCTTTATTTCCTGATGCTATGTGCAAAGCACTGCATGACCTGCCTCTAAGAAATAGTATGATTATTCAAAAATTGACCTTTTAGTTGACACACATTTGTACATGTTAGTGGTGTACAGTATGATAATTCAATAATGTATGCAAATGTATAAAGATGAAACAGGGTAATTAACATGTAAAAGTGTTATTACAACTAGTTTTGGGACGGTCACTTTGGCTTAAGAAACATTTTGTAGGTGCTCTCAACCATGTAGCACCGAATTTCCAGGACAGTTATGTTTTCCTTGTAAAGAGGAGAATGCCTTGGGAGGCAGGTGTACAATAGATAGAGTCAAAGAAGAGCAACAGTGATGGGGAGTAAGGGGTGGGGTGTTTAAAGGTGATGAAATTTCTTTTGCTGCAGTCAAAACAAAACAAAACAAACAAACAAACAAACAAACAGAAGGCTGCCAGGCAGTTTCATGAAAATTCTGCATACATGGAGGCATCATCTAGTCTTAAGAAATTTGATATCCATGTGGACAATAGTGGTTTTAAAATGTCTTCTCCAATCCTGTTATATTTTTATAATGGTCAGAGCTCATTGCTCTTATAACGAAGCCCAATTTTTAAGGATTGCTAGCAAAACTGCACAGATTGTCTCTTCTTTAACTCTTTATCCTCATCTCTTGGTCTCTACCCCAAACTCCATGCTCCAGGCAGATGGAGCTTCTCTTAATTCTTATATGTACCACTGTAGACCTTCACGCATGCTCTTTGGAAACACTCTGTCCTTTCTGACACTCCAACATCCCCCTTCCTTTGGTCATATTTATCCTTTGGAGAGTAGATTTAAGGTCGTTCCAATGGCTAGCCTTCCCTACCTGCCACCATGAAGCATGAGTCTGGGGTCTCTGGTGTGTTCTCCCAGTGCAAATCCTGGTTCCCTGCCAGGCACCCCTTACACACTGCAGTGTGTTTACCTATGCCTTGTGTGTCCACCCCCACAAGATACTCCATGCTCACCCCCTGTTTTGAGGGCAGGGATCTTCGCTCTCCTCATCTCCATTGGGTCCTCAGGGTCTAACACAGGGTCTGGCACACAGCAGAGCAGGCTCTCCATAAATACTTGTTGAATGAGTAAATACACAGGCAAATATACCTTTATAATTTGTGAAACCAACCTCTCAGGAGGAAAATGGAGTTTATGAGCAGAGCTTTCTAGCAAATTATATTTAGTCCTAATACTACAAACATGCATATCATTATCTCTACACTCCTTATTTGGGGATGATAGTTATGTTTGTGAGTTCTGAATGCTCAAGCCAATTTATGAAATTTGAGCAATATTAAATGTGACAGTAGATGGCTCCTGTTTATAGGTTATGGTGGTAATATTCTAAAAGCAAACAGCTTGATTGTGAACTTCCCTTTCAGAGGCAATATAATGTGAGGGGTGAAGGGAATTACTTCACTTTTTAAAAAGAGAGAGAATATAATCATCTTATAAAGTAAGGGAATGTTGTATTTGGCCCATATGTGATTACATTTAGAAATAATTTTGGGGACATATTATTATGAATTAGGTAAAATAAGAGGCAGTTAAATTTAGGGAAAATGACTTCTGGTTTTAGAATATACTTCTTCTCAAAAGATAATTTCACTTGAGGAAAGCATTTTTAATGTCAATATATTAAAATATTAAGTCTTTGCAATGTCTAAGGTCTTTATCAGTTAAGCAGATGTTTAGTTTAAGTTCTGTCTTACAGATCAGCTGCCTGAGGGCTTTAGAACTTCAGAAAGGAGAGCTAAAACTATGAATTGATGGAATGCCTATGTTAAAGGTGTTGGTATACTTATTTCTCTTAATAACTCTGCATGAGGTACTGGGCCTAATTTCCAATTTACGGAAAAGAAAATTGAAACAGAACAGCTTGTTCTCAATCACAAAGAAACTTTATGGTAGGGGGATTGTCCTAACAACTCCTGCTCTTCCTAACACAGCAAAGGAACAGTAATTGCATTCATTTTAACTGAGCTCCAGCTTACCATTCCCTATAGTCAACCATGTCAGCCTTACTCAAGTAAGTACAGGTGCATTCCTGAGGAAAACAGGCTAGCAGTAGTATATGCAACATTCTCAGAATGGAAAATTTCTGGGAACAGAATAT